TGACATTGTCCCCTTGTTTTAGCACCAAAAGCATATGTAGCCTCCTTAGTTACCCTCTGTAGCGTGGATCGCAGTTAAGACGCACAGGGTTTGCTATGCAACTCAATTTCTCTGGTAGTAGTAATAATAGTAACAATAATTTGTTAGGGAACAGAGGAGGTAGTAATAACACGACTCGGCGTGTATGGTTGTGTGATTACTAGGAAAATATATTTGTTTGAATAAAAATATTGCATACATGGTTGTGTTCAAACGTCTTATTCATTTATTTAAAGGCTTGTTGCAAGGCAAGGGCTGTGGGATATATGTAAGCATTAATTATTTCCGGTAACATTAATTTTGATAATTTGGACTATATATATATTGGCAAATAAAGTCAACGCGTGGTGCGGCCGGATGATACTAGCTAGCTAGAATTGTACTATTATAATCACTAGTATAATAAATAGTTGCCTTTTGTCAAACTGAGACTGCCCATAGATGGAGGGCGCCGCACTTACTAGCTACATGCAAACTTGCAATGGTCCAACTCCATGGGATCATCTATTGTCATTGGTCCCAGCACCCGATGGAAGGAACGGCGGAGGCGCCAAACTACGTACTTTCAGCTTCAGTTTGCATCATCATTCAGCCTACCATTTGAATTCCTTCAGTTCAGACGTACGTTTAATGTTGACGCCTGCTAATTGTTATTACTCCTATGTGATGCGAATTGATGTCCATCCAAGTGGCGGAGCCAGGATTTCACACCTGGGTATTCCGCATACAAAAAAAAATCGATGTAAATGTATAATAGTAATAATCAAAGCATAAGATCTGAACATGGTAGTATAGTGCCATTGTCTATAATAATTAAGAAAGATTACAAAACATCAAAAGCTCAAAACTACTAAAATTGAACTCTAGGATCCTCTTTTTGGAATTCATTAATGATATCATCATCTTTCACTTGACTCAAGAATTCTCTCTCAATAAATGTGACCAAGCAATTGTTCAAATTATTCATCACTCATTTTATTCCTTTGCTTGTTCTTTACATAATTCATGGTGGAAAACACTCTCCCAATACTAGCAGTGACTATAGGAAGAATTAGCACCAACTTAAGAAGCTTGTAGACAACATAATACTGCTCATGTCTTTTTGTGCTAACAGGCATGACTGAAAGCTCGCGTAGGTTTTTTAAATTTTTAAACCTTTCGTCTCTACGCACCTAAGAAATGTACGCATTGAGCTGATATGCAAGTTGGGAAACTGGGAGCGGCGGCCAGGAAAACGATGCGACCCAGCCAGATTTGCAAATGTAGCAAATATACAAGCGTATACATGTATATATATTTGTGTTTGTTTACAGAATCTTGGGTATTCCATGGCATACAGGGGAATACCCATATTCCCCTGGCGCCGCCCCATGCATCCACACGTGCGTGCGTTTTGTGTTTTATATTACACCAAAAAAATGGACAGAAACCCGTACCGTACCGTACGTGTCTGAACGTACAGTGTGTGGGTGCAAGAACATATACACTGGTCAAAAGATGCTACTACAAGCAAAGTCGTCTCGTTTGCGGCCTTCCCAGACTCCAGACTTGTCGCGTTGCGTTTTACATCGTCTCTTCGCGTCTCATCGTCTGGCACCTAAAGAGGCGAACATTTTTTTTCAAAAATAAAAGAGACGCGAAAAGTATAGGAAAATGTCTATTTTACCTCTGAACTATCCTCAAACTCTAGTTTTTTCCCCTGAATTCCAAAACCGAGTAAACCACCTCCCACAACTTTTAAAACAATTTATTTTGCCTCCCTGACCCGGTTATAGGTGGTTTTCAAATGCGGTTTTGTCTTTTTCTTATTTATTTATTTTGGCTGAATTTTAAAAAAATTATAGTAAATCAAAGAAAAATTATAAAATGGAAAATTCAATTTTCTTGCACTCTACATGAGTAGAGATACACAATAAATATATAATATGGTATGCTTCAGTACAAAGTTTTTGTTGTAGCTTTAGATCTATATTTTCTGTAATTAATTCAAAGCTTGAGTTTCTATGGTCTCATTGTGGTGAAATTTTTATGGTGAGCTAATTATTATATTATTGAACTGTAGTAAAAATTTCATGCTCATTGGATCATGTATAACTGAGTTATAGATTTATTTAATTTTATGCTTGTTAAATAGTTTTAAAATAGTTAAAAGTGTGTAAAAATAGAAACGATTATGAATTTTTTACTATAGTTAAAGCATAAAATAATTATATCACCATAAAAATTTCACCACAATTGGATCATAGAAACTACGGCTATGAATTAATTACAGAAAAACATAGATCTAAAGCTACAACAAAAACTTTGTACTAAAGCATACTATATTATATGTTTATTATGTATACCTACTCATGTGGAGTCCAAAAAATTGGATTTCTATTTTATTATTTTTCTATGATTTACTATGATTTTTTAAATATTCAACCAAAACAAATAAAAAAGAAAAAGACATAACCGCCTTTAAAAATCACCTATAACAGGGTCAGGGAGATAAAACGAACGGTTTTAAAAGTTGAGGGAGGTGGTTAACCCGATTTTCGAGTTTAGGGAGGAAAACTAAACTTCGAGGATAGTTCAGGGAGATAAAATGAATTTTTTCCATAAGTATATATACTGATATCATAGTGTGTTCGGCCTGGGCCAGCCGGTGGTGTAGTAATCTGGCCCGTCTACGTAGTAGGGTTCATGGGCTGCTGATGGTGGTCATCGGGAGCTTCGGGGTAGTTCGGCCGGCCTGTGTCCATCAGGCCTCAGCCCAGCGTTGCAATTATTCAAGAATCCAAATGGAGCGAATATATATATATATATATATATATATATACACGCCTTGGTCTTCGAAAAAAAACAAGCGTTTCCCTAATAATAAGAAAAAAAAAACTAAAATAGACGAACATGTGCATGTTTGAATCGACCTATGGACATGCAAGGGCGGCACGAAGGTGTGGTTTGGTAGGGCCGTGGTTTCTCTAAAAGAGCTTCGGCTCTAACTTCTCAACTAAGCGTTTTATGGTGCAGCTAGAACCGTTTTGAAAAATATTTAGTACAAATAGTTCCAATGGTAATTCTATAATAATTTATATTGTTTTGTAAGAAGGAGCTGAGAAAAGTTACTTTATTTTTAGCTTCGGCTTCTCTATAAAAAAATAGCTTTGACTTCCTTGAGCTCTTTGCAAGAAGCCGTTTTTCATATACTTGTTTGCCAGGGCTCGGAAATCGAAGCCCTGACAAAAGGAGTCTAAAGGCACGTTTTGCATAGCTTTAGCTTTGGCCATAACAGCTTCAGCGGTGGCTTCTCAGAGGAAACAACTCTTTCTAGTTCCAACTTATTTGGTTAGAAAAACGTATGGCAAAACAGTTTTTCCTCTTTTTTGTTCCCAGCGTACGGTGCACATGTTAGACTTGTTTGGTAGGGCGCCTCCTCAAAGGCTTCTTTGGAGGAGTCGGGCCGTTTTGGAGGCACCGACTTCTCCTTTTTTCACTAAAAAACGGTTCCTCCTACTAAACCGTTTGGTAAGGCTCCTCCGTAGGAGCCGGAGAAGAGCCCTACCAAACAGGGTCTTAACCTTATCTTTTTCTTTGACGCCACCCTTCATCTCGCCTCCCACATGTGCGCACAAGCTCAACAAAAGCTACTGTTGCGGCCATCCCAACGGAAGCGGCAGCCATCGCACATGCTCGACCACCTCAACCTCTGCCGCACCGCCTGCGCCGCCAAGGTCGAGACACAAGGGCTTGCCGGTGTCGCACTATCCCAGCAGCAACGAGGCCGTGAGGCGGTCGAGGTCCTTGCCAGCCTTGCACTGGCGTGAACACAGATGGCAGCCAAGACCCTGGCCATGTCCTGCTTCAGCTCCACCACGGCCTCCTGGAAGAATCGTGCGCGTCGGCGAGGCCGAGGAAGGTGCCGAGCAGGCGGTCACCGCCGCCGCCAGTGCCTATAAACCCTCCGTCCAAGCCGGCTCGGACGCCTCTCCCTCTGTCCATGCTGGGGGGGCAAATTCATCCTAGGGCCGGGGATATGAAGACGAAGCAGGTCGAAACCACATTTTTGAGCTCCTTCCAACTTTGCCTTCTCTCAGTGCATTTTACGGGGCTTCTCTTGTGAAGCTCCAATGTTTTTGGGAAAGTGAAGAAGTTATTGGAGAAGCGGTTGTTGGAGCCTTACCAAACGCAGCCTAAGTTTACGATGGCTTGTGATAAAACTTGCTCTATGATACCAGTTAACTGTTGGAGCCTACGAATGGAGGGTCTTATCCACTCCTAGCTAGCTAGTTTAGCTTACCATGGAAAAAGTCAAATATTCTTGTTGGACCCTGTGTACGGAGGGAGATGTATATCATAAATAAAATTGACAAAAACATGATATGCTCAAAGCAAACCATTCTTGATAATGAGTACGAGACATACCTTGATAAGTTTAAAGACCAAAATGATGCACTGTGTGAGTACGAAGATCGGCATGACATGTATACCCACTTAAGTTTGAGGACCGGCCATATATTTTTTACTCAAAAAATTCTAATGTATATGGATATAGGTGGGTGATACTCGTCGGGCATCAGGTATAAAATATAAACCCATTATCATCCCTAACAACGATAGAGGGATAAATTAAGGTCCCTATTTATTTCATTCTTCGCTTGCTAATTTTTTTTTATTTAGATAAATTATACAGAACTCGTAGAGTTGCTATTGTTGCGCGCTAAATTTTGGTTGTGTCCTAATAAACTCCAGCTTCAGCGAGAAGCTTATCTCGATCAGCTAGTGATCGGCATCAACTCTGACGGCATCCAAACCTGCTACGATGCGTAATGACTGGGACCGTGCTGATCGAGATCGGTAGACTAGAGAGAGAAGAGCATAGAGAACCTTCTTCCAACTCGTGAAAGTAACAAGGACAGCGGCAAGGCTTCGCCGGAGCCTCGGCGGTTGACCGTAACAGCACCGGGGCACCGGCCGGCATGAAGGCGGCCGTCGGCGCCAAGCCACCGTTCCAAAAGACTCGCAGGAGACAAGAACTGATCACGATGGCGAGTTCCGCTCTCCCAGGGGACGCTTGCGTTCACGGCGAGTGGCTCGCTGCGGCTCCCCTCGGCGTCGTCGGCGTCCTGGAGGGTCGCGTCCATGGAGGCCATCCTTCCGGTGTGATCTCTCCCTTCTTTACGGGCTCAGTGATGCCATTACTCAGCAGGTTTGCTTTGTTACTCTAGATCTGCCTTCCTACTCATTCTGGAATTCATTGAGCAGTTGACCAACGACTGTTTCTTCCCCTGCCATGGCTGCCAATGGACTCTGGTGTGAACTGTGAAGTAAGGAGGCATCAAGTTCTCTCCTCGGCGACATGGAGACATATCTGAACCCTGTCTCCGGGGGCTTACTCGAGGACGACACGCTACGGCTCAACAGATACCTGGCCGCTGCAAAGTTGATGCTGATGTTTCAGCGTCAGCTGCCCCCTGGCACGGCATCCAGCGACATCCATGACGACCATGATCGTGCGAAAAAGCTCCTCGACAAGGCCATGTCCTCCCTCGCAATGGAGTTCTGCCACCTCCGAATCTGGCGACATGATGATTACCACCTGGATGTCTCGCCTGTGTCCATCTGGGAGTCCGTCAGGCGCAGCTGCCGCGACAGTTCCAACTCTGACTCGGCAGCCTCATGGTTGAGTTCCTCTGCTTCCTGTTCCTTCACCGGCGGCAATAGTGGCAGCTCAAGTGGATTCCTCTCGGCTCTATTTGAGGACATGTCCGTCCGAAGTGACAAGGCATTCCGATGCATGCATCTTAATTTTATCGACAGAAAGGAGTTGTCCACCCTCAATGACATTGCAGGCGTCATGATCGAAGGCGGATATCAAGAAATGCTCCGACGTGCAATCCATCGAGACTCTGCTCAACCTGCCAGGTATGTGTTGCGTATGTACTGTACTTCATTAAGAGTCATCACAAATTCACAATCAATCATGCTAGCTCTGGATAATTTTTAGTTTCACATTTTCCAAGGATTTCTAACGAGAAAGATGCTTCCTCCATTCCAAATTGCAAATCATTCTGCCTAGAAAAAGTTACCAAAACTAACTTACAATTTGAGATGGAGGAGAGTATTTAATTGATATTACAATTACAACTGGGAGCCAATCAAAATTCTTTTCTAAGAACTTAATCTATATCCCAAAACTTTCCAAAATCTCCGCTCTTCTAGCAAAATCAAGTTTCAGTAGTCATGATAAGGCTATAGAACTTGAAGTACTAGGAAGCCCAAAAGATCAAGCAGAAGCAAGAACAAATCAAGGAAACACCTCGGAACCCCCAGAAGTCGATTTTCAGCCTGTAGATCATGGAAGTTCTGCGCTTGCCCGCGAAAGTTCCGCGTTCATGTGCACAAGTTCCGCACTAAACGCTTTGAGCAGACTGAACCAATAAGGAAAAGGAGCAAAAACTCGATCAAACCAAGTCCAAATGGCCTTCCTTAGGATGTTTTGAAGCTGTTCACAAAGTTTCACCTGAAAAAGATTAAAGCTTGGATCGCAGATTGAAAAACAAGCTCTCAAATTGAGGCTTTCACGATTTTCTTGAAACAGAGGAGATGGTGTGCACGTGGGAAATCTGGTTGACGAAAAGCCTGGTCATGTTCTCCAAACTTCATAGCACCTAGGAAGCACAAGAAATCAACCCAAAACCCTTAGCTCGAAGATCCTTAAGAAATTCACCAAAGAGCAAGAATTGGTGAGATTTGGGGCCTGGAAACAAGAGCTTCGAAGCTGGGCTTCATGATATAGATAAGTTCTAAGGGTCCCAAAGACTCACAAAAACGTGTCAAACAATGAACCAAAGTTGCATTTCAAAAATCTCCCAAAAATGGCCATGAAAATCACCGAAAAATGGAAAATTGGAGGAAAAGGATGAACTCGAGATTTCAGCAAACCTTTTAATTAATCAACTATGAATTCATCTATACTAGACCAGGTCTAGCATCCTTCCTTCATCCTCCCTCTAAAGATGGAAAATTAAGCAAGGGGTGCCTTTGTACTTCTAATCTCCCTAGAGATGAACACTTGGCCTGCCCAAGCAAAATGAGATGTGGATTCAAGGGATACCTCTCCACCGGTCATCTACCTTATTAATAGGCGTTTGGAATACCCCAAACTGCCCCTAAGCTAATGCTAAGACTACCAACCCACTTAGGGCAATATGGTCCATATTACACAAAAACACACCCGATACACATCCGACAGCCACGATTGCTCCTCCCCTTCGTTTAGCCTTGATGCTAACTCAAAGATGTCTCCACGTACCACCCAGAATCCTCCCCTGGGTTTTGAGGCCCAACCCGACGTCATCCTCGATCGGTAGATCACCAGGAGCTTGCGTGCTCGTCTTGACTTGGCCCGGTCTCCATCTTGACTTTGGTCAACACCGTTGTAACGTCCCGCGTCCAAAATCTACTTATATGGCCAGCTTCGCAGGTGGAACGGGCATGCATATGCGTAGCACCTCGCTTAGATTTTCGTCCTCGCTTCGTGTAATAGGGTTAACCTAGAGGTGCTACTTTTAGAACGACAAGGATTATAAGGCCCTCACCTTCCTAAACTTCTAAGAAGATACTAAACCCACCACCACCAACTCCTCATGTGCCACACGGGCCACATGGACCAACAACATAACTACAACAGGCTTCTAACTGGCTGGTGTGCTACATTGACACTCACCTTAAGGGTTGACGCCCTCAACAACTCACCACAAACGCACCAGATGCCTAGAACCACCCGTTGGTACACCACTCATGGGCACATACAATAAGGGTTGATGCTCTGAATACCATCTATAACACCCAACATCCAAAATTTGCTTACGTGGCCCAACTCCGCACGTGGAACAGGCTTGGATATGCGTAGCACCTCGCTTACACTTTCGTCCTCACTTCATATAAAAGGGTTAACCCGGAGGTGCTACATTTGGAACGACAAGGATTATAAGCTGGCCCTCACCCTCCTAAACTTTCAAGGTGGTACTAAATCCACCAACAACAACTCATCATGTGCCAAATGAGCTAACAACACAACTACAATAGGCTTCTAATGGGCTAGGGTGTTACAACCATCTTCACCACCATCTTCGCATGTACACTTACTTAGCAATGTGTCCAAATGCTAGTCATCCATGGTTCATCCTCTGGCCCTCCGGTACCTCGGTCCAAGCTTTTGTGTCCGCCCTTCATTGCTCCCGATCCATCGCGCACAGACTCCTCGCTTGACCTTCTCCATTGCCATCGACTGTCTCACGCTCAACACCTACACATCACAAGCCAAGAGGCACATTGCACACACGCACTCATGCCTCATTTCATCTCACGCATGCTTAGCCAAAGCTCAGACCACCTCATTGACAATCACTCATCACTCACATTGGTGGTGGAGGAGGAACACTCGAAGAAGGGGAAATATTTGTTGGTCATGTCATTGTCATCTTGGGCGCGAAGGAATTGCTAAAGTTGTTCTGGCTCATTTGACATCCCTACAATTCTTTTTCTGCAAGAATAGAAATCTAAAACAAGCAATTGATAGTAGTAAATTCTTTATAATCAACAATATCCTGAATTTCACTCCTCAATCCACCATAGAAACGACACACTTTATCCTCTAGATCCTCTTCTACCCTTTTGAACCTCTGCATAATATTTCTAGATAGACATATTTCCTCCCTCTAAGCGTTGTAATTTCTTAAGCAAATCACATTTATAAGAAGGAGGAATAAAATGATCACACATTGCTTCTTTTAGTCTATCCCATGACTCAGGTTGTAGATGCAAAGTAGCTAATTCTTGTCACTAGATTATAGCAAAGCTTTTTTAAACTCACTAATAGCTTGTCTAAACTTGTGATGATCAGGAACAATGTGGGAAGCAAATTTTGTTCTGTTATCTCCCAATCAAGATATTCCTTAACATCATATTTACCATAAAAAAGTGGTACGATGAATTTAATTTTAGCATAAGGGTCGTTATTGCAAACAATGCCACGATTGTGCTCATTATTAACATTACCTCCCATACCTGTACGATTGCTTTGAAGGCATCGCTGCGGGTTCCGCTCGCGTGTCACCCTCTCATCAATCATACCATTGTCTCTATACACAAAGTCATCGTCAAGGATCCCTTCGTCTTCGTCTTTGTCATCTTTGTTCTCGTCATTGGTCTTTGGACGGTTGGTCTCTAGCTGCTGAACTCTCCCAGTCAGTGTGCACAAAAATTGATAAAAAGCTTTCAAGCTTAGAAAGACGATCTTTCAGGTTGTTTGACGAAAAAATAAGTTCGCCAAACCCACTGAAGGGGGGCACACGGATGCCAATTTTTTTCCAATTCTAAAAATGTAAGGTTTTCTAAAAATGGAGTCAGTATGCAAAAGTTATGTCATTTTTACGAACATACTCCGAATCAGAGGACAAAACTAGGAAAAAGTGCGGAATATTGGTGGCGGGTAGGGTTTGAAAGAAACGATGGGCAGAAACACACTGGGCTCAAACACAATCTAACCAATAACAAAACTTCGACCTAGGACACAAACTCAACATGGCGGACTCTGAGACTGAATTATGCAAAGGCTATGATGCGGAAGGTACTAGGACAGGAAAAATAAGTATGACAATGGACTATGGGACGAAGGTGAAACACTTGAGCTAGCATTTAAGATGCGAACCTAATGGTATGCCTGAAGCTCTGATTATCACTAAGAAGAAACTCAATTGAAGTGACAAATTGCAGATCTATTTTCATGCACTCGAAGTTGGGGTTTCACTACCGATGACGGCGACTGTTCGAAGACAGAATGATCTAAGGCAAAACCCAAACCCTAACTTTGGCGATGATGACTCATTATAATGTCTTTAGGGCATGTGAACCCCCTGTACACGCCTCCTAATTAATGTGCCCTAAGACGATACACGGCCCAATAGAACAAAAGAAGGTGACACAATAGTCTGGCGGATTCTGGACGTTGACTTGTTTCGATGATTTCCATTGACTCTGGTAGAATTTTGATGTCAAACCAAAGTCATTTGTTATCTTATGAAATTATCTTTCCACACATATGTGGATTGTCGAAAATGGAGTGTGTATGTGCCTGGGGTGTCTATTTTACTGCAGGTTGGTCCTAGAGGCCGAGGCAGACTCGAACTCGAGTTGACTCGACCTCTGGATTGACTTGGACGTCCTTGCTGGTCTTTTCCACCTCTACACCTCTCTCTAAGTTCTTCATGATCCTCTTCAATGTTTCTAGGCTTGATAACATCATTAAGTACTAATCTATTCTCAAAACTATAAAAAAGATCGGTTAAGAACGAGCTCACCTCTAGTTTCGATTGTCGCATTCGAGCTCTAGTCATTGAACTTTGCATAACGGTTGGAGGATTAACGGGTGCATCCAAAGGAGTGATGTCCTTATCACACTTATTACATGGCACATACCAACCATGTGTTCGCAACAAACATAAAAAGAATGCATGTTCCGTAAAAGGATCCTATTTCATTTATTATTTCTCTTAGACACTTTCTAAGTATTGCGGTCCCTTAAGTATCAAATTAAACATATTAGTCTACTTATTAGGCTAAAGCACACTTTTTAACCTCGAAATTAGACGGCAATTCGATTTTCAATCTTAAACTACGAAACAAGGTAACGAGCAGTCAAAAACAGCAAATTCAGTCCTATCGTAGATTTCAAATGTGGTTTTCTATTTCCTAAAAGTAATAAAATTCTGTTTTGATCTTTATAAATTCATAATTAATTTATTTTAAATCATAAAAATGTGGAACTAGTACTAGTTTTATTCTGAAAGTGTTATCTATTTGTTGGTGGTCTATTTAGAGTTATTTGGATCTTAATTAATCGTTTTAAATAAATAATGAGCATGACTATGAGCTATAAAGCAATAGGAACCAAAATAAATCAATTCCAAATAGCTATATATAGATCATAAACATGTAGATAATATTTCTAGAAAAAAATGGTACTAGGTTTATATTTTTGGATTCAAAATAAATTATTTATGGATTTGTAGCAACAAATTAGATTTTTTATTATTTTTATAAAATAGCAAATCACCTTTGAAACCAGCAAGAGAACCAAATTTGTCTGATTTTTAACAATTGGAGGGCATCCATTACACGGTTCTGTACAAGATTAAAATTCCGTAGTTCAAGATTAAAAATCGGACTACCATACAAGTTAGAGATTGAAAACTATGCATTACCGTTCTACTTTTTTTGCGACGTACCCTTCTACTTATTAGGAATGACTTACTGACACATGTCCAACAGTTACCCTGAAATCCTTGACATCAATAACATTTGGGGCGGTCACAAGGAAGAATCCAAAGAAATTCTACTGAAGGTTTGGACAACGGCGATGCACATCATCGTTGGTGTCTTGAGTGAGATGCAAAGACAATTGAATGGACGGGATCTTGGTTACTTCAATATATTCAAGGAGGATTATTTCTTAGCAATTGCAAAACAATCTATCAGGAAGTTGCTTAGAGCAGCTGATTCTACGTGCATTCAGGGTGCACCACCAATTGATCCAGTTTACATGGATACCTATACAGCACCTAAGCCTGATCTATCCAAAATGGTAAATCTGGTGATGGTGTACCAAGCACTGGATTATAGCATGCCGACAATATTAGCATTGCTGTCAGGTCAAACTAAGGAGTCCATCCTTGCAGAGGGTGAAGGGCTAATACACCGATTGTCAGACATGTTTGTCAAGCTATCTGTTGAGCAAACCGATCTGGCAATAGCGCGACGTTTGGACATCTCTGACACTGGTGTTCATCCCTTCACAAGGCATATCATGGATCATGTGCAGATGCTGGTTCAACACAAGAGCACAGTCTGTCTAATGCTGAAGGGTGACCTGAAAGCATTCCATGAACTGGTTGCGCAGCTGATCTCCTCTTTGGAGTCTATGCTGGATAGGAACTCAAAAGGTTTGCACCTCCCAGGGCAGCAACAAATGTTCCTGCTGAACAACGTACACTTCATGCTTCAGGAAGCCAAGATAGAGAAAGATTTGGGACGGATCCTTGGAGAAGGGTGGCTGTTGCAGCGCAATGACCAACTCGACATGTTCATTGCAGGATATGTAGATGCTTCATGGACACCTGTCATATCTTGTGTGCTAAGACGGACCCTAGTACGGGAGATCTTGTGGCCATTGTTTGACAAGTTCACTTCACTTTTCGAGACGACCTACCGGCTGCATAAAACATGGAAAGTTAGTAATCCTCTGATCCGGAATAAGGTGCGGGAGGCAATATTTCATAAGGTTATCCCAGTGTACCGAATGCATATGGAGAATTGCTCGGAGAAGCAGCAAAAATCTGCAAGGTACAACATTCAGCAACTGGAGTCACAGCTGCAGGAATTGTTCGAGGGGTAACTTTGGACGCGGGTATATATGGTTTACCCAATTTCTGTACTAGTAAAGTTGTAAAGCTATTAAGTGCTGTAGCGAAATCTCATTAAAAGTTGTTTGTTGACTGTTAGTAAGGAAAAAAAAGAAGTGAAAAGCTAGTAGATAGATATTGATGTCCCACCCCGCTCCCTTCTTTGGCTTTGAACCTATGGACGGAAAAGCTATTATGTTGTTTTTGTCAATTATATGCTGTACATCTTCATAACTGTTTAATTGTATATATATATACACTATGAGAAATTTTATTTAATTATTAACGGTAATAAGGTAATTGTTGCTGGGACACCCCCTCCGATGTATATTCTAAAGTTTTTTTTTTGAAAGGTCACAGGGGATGTACTATCCGCACGTGAATTTTATTACCACAGATTCTGACCAAAGCCGATGATGGTAATTACAAAGTTAGGTCATGAATCCAGAGATACAAAGCAGGAAGGGAAAGACTAGCGCCCAGCCGTCCGGAGTCCGGACACCCGCGCCTACCGCCCGCCCATGCGCCTGACGTGCTCCGTCTGCATGCGACAGAAAACGACGCAGGCGATGCACTTCCCCTAGCTGGATGCATGCAGCCAACGGAAGGGACACGCGCACCACGTCTCCGCCTCCCACTTTGCCTGGGCGGGACCCACAACGCATGCATGCAGCTCCTGCCCACCCGCCCACTGCTGCTGCACCTGTGACTTGTCCGCGCGATGCTGCTACGCATGCACCTGTGCATGCATGTGGGGGCTGCCGTGCCTACGGGGACACTGCACCCGAGGGGACCACCTCCGTCTGCACCCACTTCCCGCGTCCGGTCATGCAATACTTGCAACATAAAGCATTCACTTCAACATACGTCCGAAACAGATAAAACATTTACAAATATAGGCTTGCAACATATGTGTATGGCCACAACAACATATGCAACATCCAGATAAAATATTTGCAATATATGTTTGAAAGGGATGAAACATTTGAAACATACGTGTATAGTTAGTGCAACATATGCAAAATCTAGAAACATTTGAAACATATCCTTACAACATACGTGTATAGCCATTGCCAACATATGCAATATCCAGATAAAACACTTGCAACATACGTTTGAAACAGTTGAAACATTTGAAACATACACTTACAAAATACGTGTATAGCCATTGCAACATATGCAATAACAGATATACTTTTAAAACATTCAGATTAAACATATGCAATATACATCTAAAACACATGAAACATACGATTGCAACATGTGCTCATCTACTTACTGCCCTCCAATGGAAGCTCGTTGATGCGAAGCTCAATGCCAACGCGGGAGCTCAAGGTCGCCCGCGGTCGACAAGCATATGGATCACGGCCGTGGCAGGAGGCGCGGGGACAGGCGGGTCGGTCCTGTTCAGAAAAGGACGAACGTCCTGAGGGTATCATTATCAAAGTAGGAAAGACAAGAAAGAGAGAACAAACACCACAACAACAACACTGAAAACAACCATCACCAACAGCTACAGAGAGAAACAACAAAGTTGCAACTCCCCTGAAAATATGTCAATAGGGCATGACGTCATGGTGACGTCATCAAGCTAGGAACGAGAGGGCGTTGCGGACTTGTGGAGGCTCCGTAGAAGAAGGAAGCGACGTAGGGTATGAGGATGAGAGGCCGGTTGTGGAAGTTGTGGTGGCTTTGCGCTGACAAGTTCGGCGCTCATCGATGCCGCTGCCACATACATGCATGTCAATCGATTATAAGCAATATGAATTTACTAACTTACCCTTAGGTATAAACAATAAAACTATAGAGACATTAACTATAATTTGGGACAGAGGAAGTAGAAAAAGATTCAAATACTTGAATACAAGACTTTGAACTCCACCAAGCTACCATTGTTTTATGACTTTGGGCCAGCCGTGTAACTAGCATAACCAAACTAATCTAACCGCTAAGCGAGAACTTAAGCTATCATTTTATGTACTAGGTTCGTGCTCGTGCATTGCTACGGGAAAACTAAATTTTGTACTAAATACACATGGATCGCACGATAACATAACAATACTGTGAAATTAAATACCAACGCTAAAGTGACATTTAATCTGAAAGACAAAGTTTGTGAAATTAATATAGTCACGGAGAGCGCGGCGTCGCAGGCTCACAAACTCTACTGTATAAATCTTTCCATGATGCGACTAAGATAATATTTTATATCGACGAAAGAAATCGCCGATATCAATTTCTTTCGTGCGCCAATAAATCCACAAATAAGTTCCATCGCATTTTCATACCATCATATATACACAGGTTTATCATAATAAAAATTGCCCATGCGTTGTAACAGAAAACAATTCAACAGGCATGCATGTACCTCGTATGTGGCCCTCACCAGTCCTTGAGGCGCAGAGCATGCACTCGTACCTGGCACCTGAATACCAATTAGGAAGTAGAAATTCAGAAACACAATCCACGTTAATTAGCCATGAGCAATCTGAATGGAAAAGAAAAACAGTAAGTGGCTGAATGACATACCTGATCGATCCAGCCCTACTATCTCATTTGCAAGTGATTTGTACCCTAACCATACAGTCTGGTGATGCCAGTTTCTCAAGGTGTCGCTCACTGGAGCCCAACAACCTTAGAAGAAAACACAAGAAATATATATGAACCAGTGTTAGAAAATGCACAGGTGGAGGCAAACTCCATGTATATATTCACCCAAATTGGTTTGCTTAGGAATACATGTATCAGCTCAAAAGAAATTGGAATAGAGAGCCAAAATTTGTTTTGAAGCTCACCATATGTTTGCATAGGGCTAGAAGGAAAACACATAATGGCATAATGCATGTAATATGCGATGTCAGTCGATCTTGCAAATCCGACTCTTCCCTGGACAAACTAATAAACCGAGAATATTCCAATTCATAACTCACTACAGTGCACTTGCTGGCCTGAACCATGCTGTCATGTTAATGAGGGCATGGGCATGGCTTTGAAGTCCATGGACAAATCATATAAAATAATAATAGTACCTGCCATCAGTTTATACAATAACATAGATATGTGATGGGCCCAGCTACAATTTACAAATCAGTTGTTAGGGAAGGAACCATAATTCTTCTGCGAATGGCATAGTAGAACGACATGAAAACCTTGGGAATTTTTACAATAATATAAATCTGTCATATGTCCACCCAACCTTATTTCCTACAGTGTTGCATGCAGAATAAGCCAATTAATATGAACACTGAAGATATTAAAAGCAGCATAGGTAAAGGAAGTTATGCTCCTCACCAGATCAAGGAAATAGCCCACCAGAGTCAACAATAAACAAAGATATAATCTCATACAAAAAAAGGAAAAAAACTGTACTCATGTTATGATTCTGAACTCTTATTCCACCTGCTGCGGAAAGAACTGCATTACACACAAAAATACAGCTTAGATCATAGTTACATTGGATTTACTCATAAACTATGATTCTGAATAACTGATACTGCAGTGGTTCTCCTCACTGCTCGAACGAAGATCCTCTGTGTTGGTGCCCCGAACATGTGAGGATAGCGAGAGAGGGTGAAGGCCCGATGCGGCCTCGTCGTCGAGTGGCCACAGCCATGTTGGAGCCACCCCTTCCTGACAGATCAAGGCACCACCCCCACGAACCCGAGCGCCGCCAGTCAGGAGCAGGAGGCCCCAAAGGGGAGGGTGCCGCACCTCCCTTGATCTCTTTCATGTTGTCCAGCTCTTTAGTTATCTCAAAGAATACTATAGTGTTGTTTGGTGAAATAACAACCGAAAGAACCTTTTCCAGGTTTTCTTTTCTCAAAGCAGTAATAGGACTTTTTCTCAAAGTCACTGGTTTTCTTTTCTCAAAGCACTCAAGTACATCACGATGAAAGAACCAGGATTAATTAATTTGCAACCATACTATTGCATCATCACTTGCGATCTAAATTGTTGCTCTAAATTACACAACTGCGTCACTACCGGAATCCTCAAATTTGCCGAGTGTTTTTATGTTTGCCGAGTGTATTTCCTCGGGCACTCGGCGAACAAGTTCTTTACCAAGTGCTGTGCTAAAAACACTCGACAAAAAAATACACTCGGCAAATAGGGAGTTCACTCGGCAAAGAGGGGGTTTGCCGAGTGTTAAAAAACACTCGGCAAAAAAATAAAATCTTTTTTCTAGAAAAAAGGAGAAGAAAATAAAAAAACTTTGCCGAGTGCTCAGATCTAGAACACTCAGCAAAAAAAGGAGAAGAAAAAACTAAACAAAAAACTTTGCCGAGTGCCCTGATCTGGGACACTCCGCAAACAAAAAAAATATCTACTTAACCCACCCCTCCCCCCAGCGCCCCACCCCTTCTTCTTCCCCTCTCCTCCTAGCCCCCAACGCCCCCTCTCCTCCCGTCGGCGCCGCCTCACTCCCCTCCTCTCCCGGCTGCCCTCTTCCCCTCCGGCCGCCGCCCCTCCCCTCCAGTTTTGAGGTTCCCTCATCCGGCGCCCCCTCGCCGGATCCAGCGCCCCCTCCCCGGATCCGGCGCGCCCCCCTTCCCTCCTTCCCCGGCGGCGTGGCGGCGCGGATCCGGCGCGCCCTCTCCTTTCATCCTTCGGCGTGGCGGCATGGATCCGGCGTGCCCTCCTTCCCCGTCGGCGTGGCGGCGTGGATCTGGCGCGCCCTCTCCTTCCCTCCTTCGGCGTGGCGGCGCGGATCCGGCTCGGCCCCCTTCCCTCCTTCCCCGGCGGCGTGGTGGCGCGGATCCGGCGCGCCCCCTTCCCTCCTTCCCCGGCGGCATGGCGGCGCGGATCCGGCGTGCCCTCTCCTTCCCCGGCGGCGCGGATCTGGCGCGCCCCCCTTCCCTCCTTCCCCGGCGGGCATGGTGTGCTGGCGGTCGTGGCGTGGCAGTGGCGGTGGCATGGGCGGTGGTGGTGGCCGGCGGAGCAGGGTGCTTGTTTTTTTTCAAAAAAATGTTTGCCGAGTTTTTGTTGGCACTCGGCAAAGTCCGGCAAACAGCTCTTTGCCGTTAAAACCTATGCCGAGTGGCGTTTGCCGAGTGTTTTTGGGACATTGCCGAGTGCCACTGGCGCTCGGCAAAGCTCCTGGTTCCGGTAGTGCATCATGCCTATAAAAGAAAATAAATTACAAGGAACTAAATATACGGTTTTTCAGTAAACTCACATTAGGATCATCTCCAAAGCCTCATGTTCTGCACTGCAACAATGACACCAGAAAGTTGGATTGCAAAAATTTAGGATGTACAGCCACTGAATTGGAGGCTGAAATGAAATAACAAAGGCTTAATTATGGATGTATTACTATCAACATTATTGACAAATTGGACAATAATGCAATGCAAGGTTTTAGCAAACTGGATTACCATGAGCATGGCACTGTTACTGCATTCACACCACTCATATTCTGATATAAGAAACACACGGAGCATTTGCATATACCTTCCGCTGTGAGTGCAGCAAAACGTGGGACGGACAAACCAGTGTGCGGCCAGGTGCTCCAGCACGGACTGCACCAGGCCCTCGTCCAGTGGCCGGCCGCCCAATGTGCCTGGAGGAAGCGCTTGATCTGGGTGACGTAGATGTGGATAAAGAGCAGCGACAGCCGACAGGCCTAGCCTCGCGGCGCCGATGGCGTAGGTCGGCGACCTGCCTGACGGCGTTGTCCTCCAGCATGAACACTGCGGAGGCCGCGGTCATGAAGGATGTCGCTACTGTCACCAGCCCCGGCCGGTACAGTAGAACCTCGAGGACGTCGGACTCCTTGACGCACATCTGTGACTGCGAGAGGGAGAAACAATGAGGGAGAGGGAAAGGGCAGGGACAGGGAGAGGGAGAGGAGGAGAGTGAGGGAGGGGCACACCTCGGCCCAGATTGGGCGCGGTGACCAGCAGTGGATCCCGGCCGTGTTGCGCGCAGATCCCACTGCTTGCCTGCCTCACGGCAAGGATGGCCGCGCAGCGCGGTGCGCGACCTCGAGGGCGTCCGCGCGGTTGCGACGGCTAGGGCGGGGGAACTACGCCGTGCGAGGAGATTGTGGTAGGCTTCATCTTTTACAGAGTCCAGGGTGGGCGTTCGGGGTTTATCGTCGAGGAGGCCGACGTCGTCCGTGTACAAGAGATCGCGGTAGAGTTCGACTTCTGCGAGGAGATCGATGACGACGTCTGCGCAGAGATCGTGGAAGAGGCCGACGTCGTCCGCGTTCGACGTGCGCTCGGAGATCGTGGAGGAAGGGAAAGAACATGATCAGGGCGAGGGCGAGGGCGATGCTGGCGGCGCCGATGGTGGGTGGCGATTGGGGAGGAGATTGGGCGCCCGAGATTCCGGTTTCTTCCCTTTCGTTGGTTCAGTGCGGAGTGGCAATCGCAGGGGCCATGGAGGAGGGCAGCGACATCGTGGAATCAACGGCGCGGAGCAGCATTGCGGAATCAACGGCGCGGAGCAGGATCGCGGCAGGGCGCGGAGCGAGGAGACAATCGCACGCGGGAGGGCAGAGGTGAGGCGAAGTTTTTGTCGCACCAAAATGGTATCTTCTCTTTAGTCTTTTTAGCTGTGAGAGATTCATGCGCCAATGCCATCTCCACCAAAGATTGCAACCTGTGGAGAATGGAAAAAGATAGTCTCGAACAAGATAGGTAGATATATGCTTGCATGCATAGTTCGAGCTTTTTTCATGGTATCCAGGTCTGACCATGAAAAGAAAATGCTTTGGATACGTTTTCAAATATGACCTATATTTTCTAAAAGGATAGTATATTTTTTAATATTTATTAGGCTATAGCAATTTTATCCCGTTGCAAGCAAGAACATGTTACCTGTAAGATACTACATGATATATAGTAAATAAGATAGCGCTACAAGACTATCAACATACTGTTAGGAACGTCACACTCAAAATCTTTTTCTAAAAAAACACTCAGGCCCCGTTTAGTTCCGAAAATTTTTGATTTTTGGCTACTGTAGAACTTTCGTTTTTATTTGGTAAAAATTGTCCAATTATAGACTATTTAGGCTTAAAAGATTCGTCTCACGATTTCTCGGCTAACTGTGTAATTAGTTTTTTTTTCATCTACATTTAGTACTCCATGCATGTGCCGCAAGATTTGATGTGACGGAAAATCTTGAAAATTTTTGGTTTTTGGCTTGGAACTAAACTGGGCCTCAGCTGCACCGAGCGCAATAGTTGCCAGACAACCGTACTGGCAAAGCACCTGCGTTGTCGGCGCACCGACGATGTCCCGCGCCCATCTGTTCTGAAACAGGCCGCCCTTGACCGTCCTCTTCCTGCCGGTCCTGCTCAACGCCCTGTGTAGCGCTGGGGTAATACGATGGAGAGGACCAACAGTAGCCCAACTGTCCGTCCAAAGCAAAGTGGAGGAGCCGTCTCCCAATCTCGCCGTCATACTGATGGCGCTCATGGCAGCGACTGGCTTTTCCATCTTTGCGGCCGGTAGCGCAGCCCAGCAACGCCCAGGCTCAGCTCTTCGCAGCCATTCCCATCGCAGCCTCAAAGCAAACCCGAAGAAACGGAGGTCAAGAATGCCAAGGCCCCCCAATTCCGTCGGTCGGCAGACTACCGGCCAGGCCACCTTGCATCTACCGCCCGACGTCGTCTCAGTACCGGACCAGAGGAAGGCCCTTCGTCGTTTGTCGGTCTGTGCAATCGCCCACGCCGACAGGCAGTAGGCAATGCTCATGTGCACCGGAATTGCCGAGAGGGTCACTTTAGTGAGCAGCACACGTCCCGCGTGTGTAAGAAGACTGGATTTCCAGGTTGGAATCCTTGCCGCGACAGTGTCCACTAACGCCTGCTCTTCAGACCGCCTCAGTCTCCTCAGCGATAGCGGTATTCCCAGATACTTGCACGGGAATGGGGCGACGACACATGGGAACGCTTCCTGGACAGCAGCAATCATCGCGTCCGTACAACGGATCGGAGTGGTGACACACTTGTCAATGTTGGTGATAAGACCAGACTCCCCAGCAAATAGGCTCAGGATCTGCTGCACACAGTTGAGATCATCAGACGTTGGGGCGACGAGGATCACAAAGTCATCGGCGTATAGATTGAAAGAAGGATGGAGATCCAGTTGTTCCAGCGACGTGGGAAGCCGATGTGCTGCAAGACTTGTAGCAAGAAAGGCCAAGCAACAGAATCAAATGCCTTTTTGCAATGTCCAGGCCTTGTGTTTGTATTTGACAAACTTTGTCCGATCATGGACTAACTAGACTCAAAAGATCCGTCTCGTGATTTACAACCAAACTGTGTAATTAGTTATTTTTTTTACCTACATTTAATACTCTATGCATGTGTCCAAAAATTGATGTGATGGAGAGAGAGTGAAAAAACTTGGAATTTGGAGGCAATCTAAACGAGGCCCCACTTTCAGCAGTACTGATGGGAATTTCTTGCTGTGGAGCCAGCGACACGCCAGCTGTACCGCCATGAAGTTATCATGGATGGATCGTCCTTGACGAAAGCACTTTGGTTAGGCGCGAGGCGCGACAATCTCCTTGAGCCTAGGTGCTAATCGCTTTGCCAGGCATTTAGCGAAAAGCTTGCTGAAACTGTGCATCAGACTAATCGGTCTATAATCCTTCGTCCTCGACGGATCCTCCTTCTTACGCAAGAGTATCATCAGTGCATCGTTTAGGAGGTGGAAACTCCTGCCATCCAACGCCCACAAAGCATTGAACGTGTTGACGACGTCGAGCTTGATAATTCCCCAAGTAGCTTTGTAGAAAGAACCAGTGAACCCGTCCGGCCCTGGTGCGCGATCAGGAGGGAGTTCTTTGACGGTCGCCCAAATCTCCTCCTCCGAGAAGCACGCATCAATTCCGGTTAGGTCAAGCTGCGGGAGGAGATCATCAAGGCGCAGCGAGTGTAGCCATTGGACTGGTGTGCCCAGGATCCCCTTGTACTAATTGTAGATGAGGTCTTCCTTTTCATCTTCGGCAGAAAAACTTCTTCCTTCATGGAGGAATGATGGGATGTAGCTCTTCCAATTCCTATGGCAGGCTTGTAAGTGGAAGAACTTAGTATTTGCATCCTCCTCCTCAAGGTAGCGGATCTTGCGCGAGCGTGTCGCGCAATTGTCCGAAAACTAACGACGCAAGCCCCGCATCGCGACATTTCAGCTTCTCCTCGCAGCAACAGCTCCTCGTCGAGAGCGGCGATGGATTCTGGGCAGCATCAAACCGGGCTATGAGTTCCCCGCCATTTACAGATTGCATCTGAAGCGCTTCAATGTTACGCATGCTCCAGCTTTGCAATGCCTTGGCGGTCGCCCGAAGCTTGAAGTCCAGACCCTACACGCGTCAATGTTTGACAATGAAGCGATCCCAAGCTCGGCGAACGACATCTTGAAGCCATCAAAGGCGCACCCAAAAGGTCTCAAACGAAAGCGTGGCTTAGCCCATGGCTCCGCATAGCATAGCTGTAGAAGGAGGAGGGCGTGGTCGGAGCGATCGAGAGGACAAGTATGCGACGGCAAATGGTGGTTAGGGAACGCGTCTAGCCATCGCACGGTCGCGAACGCGCGATCAATGCGTTCAAGGTCGGGTGACGCCGCTCGTTACTCCAAGTGTATAGCCTACCATGTAGGTATAGTTCGTCGACGCCCATGTGGTCCAGTATGGGCGGAAACGACGATCGATCGATCGAGGTTCAAGCGATCATTGTTTTTGTGATTTTGTCTGCTGCCTGATAAATCAGGTTGAAATCGCCTCAGATCAACAGCGGCGGAGCCCAGGCAGGCCGCATGCACCTCCTTAAGTTCATCCAGGAACTCTGGTTTGAGACGATCATCAACTGGGCCATATACCGTAGACAGCGACCACGGCGGTATCGATGACGAGGTCTGCTGCAAACGTACCGTCACAGAGAAACGGCGGCAATCATGGCCAGAAGAGGACGACCATACATCACGACGCCAAGCGACTATGATACCTCCGGAGGCACCAGCAGCAGGCAAGCAGACATAGTCAAATGTTGTACCTGTTAGATTGATCTCCTAACCAATAAGCCCAACGGCCTATTGGGCCTTGGTCACGCGCCTTGATCGGGGGCGCCCAACCCTACATGGTTGGTGGGCCCCCGTCGCACTGCGCTATATAAAGAGGTGGGGGGCCGGCGGCTCAAAGTACGAGGTTCGCCGTGAGCCGCAAACCCCACCGACAAACCCTAGACCAATCTAAGGCCCTGTTTGGTTGAGCTGTGACTGTGGGAGAAAGCTGCTGTGGGCTGTGAGCTGTGGAAAAGCTGTTGTGGGCTGTGAGCTGTAGAAAAGCTGAAAGCTGTTTGGTTAAACAAGTATAAAATATACCTTTTATCTTTATCTCTCATAAAACAACTATGGAAGAACTTTTTATTCCACCAATTTCGAAAAGCAGAAAGCCAAAAGCCAAAAGCAGGGTCAAACCAGCTTTCAAAAATGAACTACGGAAAAGCAACTGCTTCTGAAAAAGCACCCTCCAAAAGCAGCCCCTTTGGTTGGGCTTTTGGCTTTTGAGGCCAAAAGCCAAAGCCAAAAGCCCAACCAAACAGGGCCTAAGAGGGCGCGCAGCCAGCGACAGGAAGCTCCGCTGACCTTCACCGTCGTCACTGCCACGCCATCCGTCTGCACTGCATCGACGTCCGTGCAACCTCTACTCCAGCCGTCGCTGCCCGTGTGCTGCCTCCATCAACGAACCAGCGATGGCCAGCTCAACCGCGACTTTCTCCGAAGGCTCAGGTTCAACACCAGCACCTCTACCCTATCTCCCTCTCGGTGTAGTGTTCTAGGTCTAGATGTGCATGTGCTTTAAGGATCCAAGTGTTCATCCGCCTAGATCTACCCTAGTCGATCTACAGAATGTTAACAATGGTATCAGTCCCAGGTTTAGGTATAGATCTGGATTCTAGGGTTTGATCTAGAACGGGTACCGATTAGAAAAGGAAAAGTTGATTAGATCCAGTGCGGATCTAAGCAGAAAAGGGTCGGCCGACGTTCGGTTGAACCCTAAACTCGATCCGTCGGATCTGAGAAAAGATATGGTTCGGATGAACCCTAACACTAATGAGGTTAAAGAAGAAGAGGGGCTCGGTTTTCATGCAAAGATCGAACCCTAAAACCTGAAGGCGATTTGGGGAAAAAGAAAAACAGTGTCGTCCCCAACCCTAACCCTAACCCTAACCCTAATCGGGAAATCGTGCAAAATCCGAATCAAAGAAACCGAAAGGGGAAAGAAGGGGAAGAGGGTGGCTC